CAAGAGATACTCTATCATCTCTGGTGTTAATCGCAGTTACAAAGGCATTGTAATCTGCTCCAAGTCCTGCGAAGAGGTTCATAATCTGATCTTGCTCAGATACTGGTTCTCCAATGGCAGCAAGACTATCTGCGATTCCTTTAATCTTCATCAGATAATCAATCATTGACATTGAGCCTTTCTTCGTGGTTTGCAATTCAAGACGAAATTGCATAACTCTGGCTCGTGAGGAAGAAGCAAAAATCTTCTCTAGTGCTGTCCAAGCAGAGTGAGAAGTTGAATGTCCAATGATTTGAGCCATTACTTCTGGAGTGAGATACGAATAGATCCAACTTAGGATCATTCGATCTTGACGTCTCCAAGCAACAAATTCTGGATTAATCGATCCGGTGGTTAGAAGATGAGAAGGACAAACAGAGTTACCTTCAATGTAATCTTCGAATCCATTCGCAAAAACAACATTATCCATCTGCGATTTCCATAAGACATAGTTTGATCGATCCAACTTTACGGAGAGAGAATGATTGATCATCAACGAAGTAGATGAAGAAGCAGCACTCGATCCGAGATTCGAAGAAGCAGATCATGGAGAAGAAGTCATGGTGGAATCACCAGAAAAGTGATTGGATCACGAGAAAAAAGGAGAGAAAAAAATCTCAGATTTCTGATACCAAGATAAACTGTGTAAGTAAAGGAAATCTCTATTCTCATTAATCATTAATCAGAGATTAGAGAAGAGAGTTCATATATATGTGAGAAAGGAAGTTACAATTGTACAATAAAAGTCCAGCTGTAACATAGCTGTATGACAAACTAAATAACAAACTCCTACTATTATGTAACTACATCCATCCCTAAATCATCTGTAACAGAGTTCTGTTTATCAGAATATTTGAACCCAGTTTGGTTTGTCAATTTCTTGGTTAAGTTTAAAATCGGTTGGTCTGACCATACGAATTATGCTCGAGCTTGTATTTCACGTGCCGACTTCGATTGGGTACAAAACTCCAAAAGTTTTGCAAAGGGTGATGAATTGGAGAAAGAAAAGTCACTGACGATTTGTCTAAATGATACATTATTGGCCATTCCATAATCTTAGAAGGGAAGGATGCAATTGGCATGTTTAGTTTAAAATGTTGAAAGTTGAAGTGGGAAGATAATGGTTGGTTTGGGCTGAAGAAGTTTTCGACTTTCTGGGAAGATAATGGCTGGTTTGGGCAGCCATTGAAGAAGTTTTCGAATTTCTGTTGGTGCATCGAAGAATGTTGCTTTCCCACGCCCCAAATGCATGATGTTATTTTCTTATCCACATCTATCAAAACCCAAATGGCCAGAAAACTTCTAGAAAATATAATAACGGGCCAATCAAAGAAGCGAAAGCCATGAGGAGACAACCAAAAATTCCAATCGAAGCCACAAAAGAAAAAAAAAATAACAAACTCACCTAGAGATTTCGAAACAAGGCTACTGATACACCGAGAGATTTCGAACCAAGGCTACTGCTGCTCAAGGCTTTCTCCAAGGATTTCGAACCAAGGCTTTCGAACTGAGGGAGATCGAAGCTTTCGCGCTGCTGGAGAGAGAGAGAGAGAGAGAGAGAGGGGGGGGGGGGGGGACGAGATGGGGGCTGTGGACTGGAGGCGGGTTAGGGATTTGGGTCGAGTAGTGGGCTTAGAGGCGCAAATTTGGTTTGGTATAGACTTTGAATTTAAATTTAAAAGAATAAAAATTTTAATTTATATAAAGACAAAGTCAAATTTAAAAAAGGTAAAATATGACTAATTAAATTTTTAAAAAAATTTTATTTAAATTTAAATTTGAGTTTGAACAAGAATTAGAGATACTCTTAAAGTTTGTAGGATTTTCTTTTTTCTTTTTTTAATTTGGAGATCAAGGGCACGATGATGAAAATCAAGGGCATGATGATAAAAAAGTTGGGTAGAGAATTTTCAATATTATTTTTATTAAAAAAATATGTATTAAATCATAATCATTGCTTTTATGACGAAAAGATTCAAGGTCAATGATTGTCAAAAGAAATATTGATCTCTCTTGTCTCTCACTTTTGGAAGCTATTGATGTTCCTCTTGCGGATTTTAGTTTCAATTTGAAAATTCGTGGGTAAATATTATGGGTGTGTTTGGCGTGTTTTAATTTGGAAATTTGTGAGAATATATTACTAATAATTATCCGTATTTAAAGGTATTGGTGTAACCCGTAAAAATAGTGCAAGAATTTGTCTATATAGAAATAAAATGTAACACAAATTTTTGACAATCACCGATCACTATGAATCCACTAATATTTTTTAAAAAATGGACAAGAATTTTTTAAAAATATATATTTTTTTTGGATAATATTAACTATCATACACAATATATATAATCAAACTTTTATATTAAGAAACACAACTTAAAGTAAGATGAATGTTATTTAAACCTAAAAATTTAATCTAATTTGTTGACATAATGATGTGGTTTCATAAGAATCATTAGATCAACATCAAATTTCAATATTTGATGGAGCCTACAATCAATTCAAATATCACAGTGAATTAAGTTATCAAATTATGTCAATAAATTATATCTCAATAACACTGCTCTTAAATCAATCACACTAGAGTCATGCCCATAAGAATACTACTGCAACAATCCAAGCATCAAGTGTGTATCATTCAAACAAAGTGCATGCATAATGTTAGACATTATTATCAGAAGTGGATTGGACATCAAACCGATAGAGGGTCTGGGTTAATGATTTACTAGTTCAACTGTTGGATTAACTAGTTAGACCGATCGTATAATAAAAAAAATATAAAATATAATAATTTAACTAAAAAAATAATATGTTCATAAAATCCAATGAATAAAGGACATAAACAAAAAGATTATCATTATCCCAGTACAAATCAATTCATAACTATACATTTCACAAATAAAGTAGAGAAACGAACAAAAAGAAAAATATGAAAAATAACGAAGGAAGAAATGCCTCTAGACTTCATTAAAAATAAAAGTGTGTGTGTGAGAGAGAGAGAGAAGAGAAAGAGAAAATAGTAAAGGATGATCAATGCCAGCTAGTGGAATATAAAAGAGAGCTTTTTCTTTGAAGAATGTGAAAGGACTATTGGTCGTACTCATATTTCATGAGTAACAGTCACAAATGAGTGCTTCTGCGTAAGAGAGAGAGACTTAACAAAGAAAGATAGAAGATGTCGTTGTCATCTGAAGAAGGAAGGAATTCGTTAAAAGATTTTTGATCTTGCCTCGCCTGAATCTCGTCATCATTGTCTGCTGAGATCATTGTTTGCTGAGAGTTGTGCTAAGAGAAAAAATACTAGAACTGTTGCTTATGTTTGTCACCTGAGAAAGAAGGCTTGCAAACTTAAACTTTGAAGGCTAAAGTAGAGAGCCAAGAGAGTGAGATCCCAACCGTCCAATTTTCAAAACTTGTCTAATTCATCGGTTTTCATAAAAAATCGACCGATTTAACGTTGAAAGACAATTCTCATGCCTATGTGGTCCAACTCAAGAACCCGACCGTTCTAGGCCCCAGGTTCACAGTTCAACTGGTCCAATTTTTTAGGTATAAATAATTTTTTCTTAAAAAAATACAAAGGGCTAAAAAGAGTAAATAGTTGATAAAACTTAATGTTGAACGTTGAAAATTGATGCAATTTTAGTGTTAAATGTTAAATTTTTTAATTTGTATATTATTTGGTATTACTAAAATTTAAGTATTGAATTGAATTAAACTATTTGACAAAAATAATAAGCTAAAGTAAAAATTATTATTATTTTAATTTTATCATTCTTTTTAATCATTTCACCGCAATTATTTTATTCCTACCACCACAATATGGTGGGGGTGGCGACACAATGGTGGTGGTGATGGAATGTGAGTTTCAAAAAATTAAGAGTGTAAAATGCATTGATAGTATATTTGTCAATTAGGAAGAATTTATAACAATAAAACTATTTTTTTTTACCAGAATAGAGAGTGCATTGGAGTTGTCTAAAATATTTCACTCTTTATTTAAATTTGGATAAATTTTACTGACCTCTCTATAAATTTAGGTCATATTTCCCTAGCATCCCCTTGACTTCTGAAATATCATTACATACCCATATAATTTATATATGCATTTCACAAACTATCCTATCGTATATGCCATTAGTGACAAGCACAAAAGCTTGTGATTACATAAGATTTTAATTGGATAAAATTAAATGTTAATTTAGAATTAATTTTAAAAAATAATATTAATTTAATAAAACTAAATGTTAGGGTTATAAAATTGAATGTTAATTGGATACAATTTCATGTTAATTTGTTAATTTGTTGAAATTTAATGTAGATTTGATAAAATTGGATACTAAATTGATAGTTAATTTGGTATTAACTTTATTAAATTGAATGAAATTTAACAAAATTGAATGTTAATTTGGCGTTAATGTTATAAAATTGAATTAATTTGGTATTAGTTTAATAATGAGAATGTTAATTTTACAAAATTTAATGTTTATTTGATAAAATTTAAGGTTAATTTGGTGCTAATTCGATAAAATTAAATATTAATCATATAAGATTAAATGTTAATTAGACAAAATTAAAAGTCAATTTGATGTTGATTTGATAAAATTGTATATTAATTTTGGATTAATTTGATACGATTATGTTAATAATAGTAATATGTGCAATGAACATTTAAACTCCTTCATTAAAAAAAAGAATCTGTGACCGTGGTTAGGTTAGGACATAACTTGGGGTAAAACTAAAAACAAAATAAAATATAAGGGTAGATTCAAATACATGTAAAAAGGGAGTTCTAGTCAGGGTAATTATGTAAAATTATGTTTAAGTAGAATTGACAAGAGTATGCAGTGTTAACAAGTACAGAACCGTTAGGACTTGCAAATATCAGTACAATAAAACAAAAGGAGTCAAATTCAGTGTATATTAAGGATCCAATCCAATGTTATTATTATTAAGTAGTAACTCCCATGACAACACATTGTAAGATTCTTCTTTCTTTTCTTTTACTTTCATTTAAACGAGATAAAGAACCCGATTTGGAAATGTTGTTGATGAAATATCATATGCTTCAATCTGTATAAATACAAAATCTCTTCACTTTTCAGCTTTACAGGTTGTAAACTATCATGTAATACTAATTAGCTCCCACTGAAAGTTTCAGGATTTTCAGTTTCTGTTTGATGGTGTTGAGGACCGATATGAGATGATACTGCAGTTTGAGGCCGTCGCCCTGGAGGCAATAGGATTTGGGGAAGGTGATTCTGCTCTGACAAGGCGTGCCAACTTCTTCTCCATCTCAAAAACTCAACAAGAATGGAACTTCCACTCATTGCAGCACCAAATCCAGCAAATGTGGAGAGAAGAATGGAGAGAACTGGTTGCAGATGAACCTATGCACCACAGAAAGGAACTGCAAATTAGAATTTTGTAATTCATCTCCTTCACTATGGATTAATGTTGGTGATTTTTGAAACTAGTTACTTGGATCGGATGCATACGGATAATGCCCAATTCAGTATCTTAGGGTAATTCACCTACTATGGTTATGCAAAGAAAATCTCTTACCAAGGAGTAGAAAAGATGCGCAAAGAGAACCACGAGCGCGAATTGGATTGATGCGTAAACCCAGACAAATCTTCTCTTCACTACATGCAAAAATTAAATGTCTTGAAGTGAAACTATCAGAAAAAACAAATGATGTTGTAGCCAAAAATTCCTATCAACATTTGACTGTCGCAGGAACTCAGTCGAGAGCACTTGTAACATTTGTTTCCGTTTTTTACAAAAAAAGAAAGGAAAAATTTAGTTAAAATATTGAAGTACAGACAGAAAAACACCATATTGTAGGGCCTTCAACTGGAGTATCCAGACCTTAAACACTCACTGCTTACTCTAGTGTTCCCATGGACACTTAAATACTTAATGACTTTCCCCATATAAAAAGGATAATCCATCTTAAAAACATTTCTTTCAGACCCCAGAGAACTTACCCATAGTTGAAGAGGTCATGGATGCGAGGAGACCCAGAACACAAGAAAAGGGAAGAGATATGGCAATTGCACCACTACCCATTTTTGCAACCTGCATACGGACAGGAAATATTAACAAGAACAATGGCAGAATTTTAGCTGAATAAGATGGTAGTCTTACCAGAAGCTGCTCGAGAAAGCAAAAGTAGGCAAGCATGCTGACAATCACCAGAATGGGAACTTCCTGCCAAACCCTGTATTTGTAATACAAAACTTTAGGCCACATTACCCACACGGTCAAATTTAATATAGATGAGAAAGCATGGCCAGACTGTTGTACGGGCTATATTACATCTGTTCTTCATCTATACAGCAAGGAAGAAGGAAGATACGTAGTGTTTTGTTATATCTGTGAGATAAACTTTGTTGCTATTTCTACCTCAAGGGGACCTCTAAAGAAGCATTCATCTCTGTAACAATTGAAGCCACTCAAGAGGTGTATAATATTTCTTTGGCTAGTGGTTTGTGGCTATGTGCCACATTCTTAGCATAACTTGGACAAAATTCACCATTGGTTGAAAATATTCTAAGACATGTAGCCTTGCAGCTGCAGGAGTTGAAATCTCCTCAGAAAATGATTATGATGAGAAAGTTTAAGTGAATATGACGGTCAATTGCAAGAAAAGGGTCGTGATGAAGGAGATGAAGTGAATAGCATATTGGTAGGAGATCACATTGCACAAGAAAGAAGGATTCTGCTGCACTTCTTTTGATTTGAGTCCCTCTAACAAAGAAAAATAGTAAATCTTATGTTATTCTATCTATCCCATAATCTTTTTGCCATATAAAAATGGCTTTAATATAGATGTATATCTTTTCATTCATAGATTACACTTCATAAGAACTATCAATGCTCATCAAGTTACCTCCCAGAAAGGAAAAAATGCTCATCAAATTTTTCCCACGTGTAGAATAATATTAGACAAGTAACTGGAGTGTTTTGTTTCAAGTAGTATGGGATAATTGAATAGCCTCCAAAACCAACAAGAAGCATCTTAGCATAAGAAATCATCATAAAAATAATTGAAATTACAGAAAGTAACGAGACTATTTTATCAATATTAGAGCTTATCCCATAGGGTAAAATAACATCTCTCAAACTGGTATATGATCCTTGTGAGCCTTTCAATTCATTATCAATTTATTTGAATCAAATACTCTAACATGAAACCATGGCCCAGGATGGTTAGTGAGTCAAGACTCTTAGCCATTTGAATTTTCGGGTATGCATGTTTGTTTGGTTGATTACACATCCAAGCCCGAGGTATCACGCGACGGAAGGTATAAAGAGAACATGTATCCAACATCAAGTGATTAGGACCATCAAAGGTTAGTTTATATGGTTAAAGTGCACCTCCACCCGTTGCCATTTATTTTTGAGTTGGACACTTTAAGAATGAGAACTCGGACAGACAACAACAAAGCTTGTGGAGAGCTTGGAATAAAATAAGACGGAAATCAATAATGCATCTGATGGTCGAAAATACAAGGGATGCTATGAAAAAGCATAAGTTGACAACATGCAGGTATTCAGCTTTACAAATAACATAAGAATCATTTATATAAATCAGTGAGGATTTGATATAAAAGCTGTAAATCAAGCTCTCATAGATTTGATGAAAAGCAGTCTAAGCTACGATAAAAAGAAGGGCAGTAGGAATTTTATAGTTTTCTCTTTATTTTTTTGGGTAATAGCATCTTCTTTAACTCTTCTTACTAGGTTAATTTCTTCAATGGTGACTCATATTCAGGACTAAGCTACTTCATAAATTAACCACTCATCCGATCCAGTTGGAAATCATTTCATCAAATATGGATTTTATCTCTCGAGCACATCAGCGGTTCATATATATGTGTGATTGTGAAAGTGGGTAGAATGTGGGGTGTGAGTTCACAAGGCGTATCAAATGACTACAACAGCAAACAGATCATAATTAAAGAAGAAAAAAAACATGATAAACCGACATGAGGTACCATTTTGTGGGACAGTGATCCCAGAATAAGAGGATGCCCAGGGCGAGTGATTATGTTGTTTTGGCAGATATGAAAACAATAAAAAATTATTCACTTGCCTGTATCCATTAATTTCCATCTGCCGAACTCTATTTACTCCAGTGTTTCGATTTCGAACACTTTGGATGCGTAAAAGTGTGACTGGTAGATTTTGAACCTCTTGCTTGCACACATCACAGGTCTTGTTACCTTTGATGCTAAACCATTTTACAGCGCATTCTTGGTGTGCCAAAGCAAGTTCACCTTTGCAGCTGCATTCCATTTTGAGGGTTTCTCCACCCTCACATAACTCCACCAGACAAATACGACAAACAGCCTCTTCTTCAGGTATATCTTCACCATCATCTTCCTTTACTTCTGAAACACATATTAGACAGGGAGTTGTCACAATTTACACACATACTCACATGTAATCATAGCATGACAAGATTCCTGGAAATCCCTAGAACTTAATCTATATTCTACTGCCACAGAACAGGGGTAAATAAAACAAAGCTTGTCTATTGAAATGGCAAATGTAGTAATTTTCCCCTTCTCCTCCACAGTCCCAACAGTCAAACAGGACATTAAGAAGAACTAGTGCAAAAGTTTTGCTTTTATCCTGGGATGCTCTCTCTTTCCAAAAGGTTATCAAAACATATGGACAATGGGGAGTTGTCTCTGTTAACTGTAGCAAACAATTGCAGATTATCCTATTTGTAAGAAATTGGGCAAGCAACTGCACAATGATTATTACCCCTTAATTGACCCCAAAAATGTTGAACTGCAAAGAAATATTAGATATAGAAATCAAACAAGCTTCTATTTCTAGTACCTAAGGAGCTCCAGGATGCATGCATGACAATGATCAAAAACAAAGATAACATAATATACCAGCATCTCCTGTTGAAACTATAGTTGACATCGCGGCATCCCCGTTTTTCACTTGTGGAGTTGAGGGAATGACACGGAAAAACGAATCCATCCTCCGAATGCTTCTTTCTTTCTTGATGACAGGAACTGAAAGTGATCGAGATATGTGGCGCTGCGGTCCTTTTGTCTACAAATAACATGAGTTAATAATTCGAGAGAATGTTCTAAGAATAAGGAGTCTAAATCTCCTTAAAGATGAGTAATAAACTTCAGGTTGTCATGACTTTGTGATGCATTGCTTGAAAATAATAACCCAATCCCCCCCTCCCCCTGGCAGGAAAAATTTAAGCAAAATGGCATGCTGCAAAGAAACTACATGAAAAAGAAGTGGGAGAAATGCAACAAGAATTCAACAAATATTTTGTATATGATCCTGGTTTATTCGTGATTAATCATTCAATATAATTGTATCATGAAAATTGACATTGTCATAGTCATTGCACATACTAGATGCATATTCCTCCCTGTAGTATGCGTGATAAATGACAAAAATCACTCAATATAATTGTATCATAAAAATTACTATTCAGTCATTGCACATACTAGATGCATACAGACCTTGGTCCAGTGCAAAAAGACAACCTAAGGACCCATTACGAAAATTGAAATTGTCAGAGACATTGCATTGACTGTACGCACATACATGATACACCATTGTCTGGTGAAAAAACCCCATGCTCTAACAGCCCAAGGAAATTGCCCCAATGAGACCCACACAAAAGATGACCTGACTCACATGGCACAAGTTGTGTGTAGAGGACTTACGTCTAACGTCAATGAACTGCCAACACTTCCTCCACTTACAGACTCTGGATTTGAATGTGGGATTGGCGTGCCAGGTAGAGATGATGTTCTCTTCATCCGAGGAGTAAATATTTTGGAAAGTGACCACGACCTTGAGAAGGAAGGTCTCTCTTGTTGCATTGTCGATGAAGCTTCTGGATCTATGTTGGTACTTTTCTCTATGTCTGAATTAGGATTCCTGTACTTGAAGCTTAATTTTGGTAAGAGATTCTTTATGGATGATTTACCTCTGGATGAAGAGGGACCAGGGGACGCATTTACTCTTGAATCAGAAGGGCTAGGCGTCAAAAGGAAATTAACTTTCTTGGGAGTGGGAGTTGGCGTCGGAGGCATCTTTATTTGAACAAACTCCTGCCGAGAGACCTCCAATGTTCTTAATGGTATATCCAAAAAGAGATTTTGTCTCCTCCACTGTTTAACATGGGGTGTTTCTTTAGTAATTCCAGAGGAATCTTCAACCTGAGAATGAAAGGAAAGGTTTATCAGGGAACTGGTGAATATGCAAAAAAGACATACTCTCCAGAATCCAGATTATATAGTTTCTTAGTCTGAAAAAAAATAATACGGCCACAGGCTAAACTTGTCTGTTAGATGTTATAGTTGACCAAACTCACTTACTTGAACCCAGAGAAGCTTCAAATTACATGCAACCTAATATATTTTACAAATTCTGACATATTCAGAGAGAGAAAGAGAGTGACCTTTCCCAACACCTTCAATGATGATTTAAAATCTTAGTGCTCTGAATGCAAACTAGATTGAAAGTATGCTTTGAAGTTGAAGAACAAAAGGCAATAAGAGTTCCAAAAGACTAACAAAACAGCATTTCCATATCTTTGAAAGTTTTATTTATATGTTTACAGGAATTTGCCTACAAAGTCCAATGTTTTTTGCAAACTACAGAATATATCCTACACCCTATCCAGAAAAACAAAAAAATGTTGATTTAGAACTGAGAATCTTGCAAGGTCTATTTTGCTTCTCGAGGCATTTGAAAAGTTACACAAATACTTCAGGTTTATAGTAATTTACCCAAAAGAAAAATACTTCAGGTCAAAGTGTCAGCACTTCCAAATAAAGAAAACTAGCAACAATAAGTCACCTAGAAAAGGGGGAAATAATCATAAAGGTTGTCAACCACAAGAGCCAGAGAGTCCTCTGATTTTCAAAAGCCAGAAATTTGTATGCCAGCAAAGGATGATGAAGGTTGGTAATTTAGAGTTCAGTAAGTAATGTTTATGTTTGTTTTGCCATAGGATTAGACTACTTGTCCACCTTTGCTCTCATTTTGTACTACATCTTTTTCCATTATTAATAATAAAATCTTTTTTTCCTACCCAAAAAATAGAAAAGAAAAAAGCGTTCATTAACTGAATGATACCTTATTCAAAGCATGTCTTGGCCACAGGACTCAAAACTAATGCAATGTTTACATGGTATAATAGCAATATTTCATCACGGTGCTTACAAAATTTCTTCAAATTCATGAATATATTAATAGAAAAAACAGTTATACGAACAAACCCAAGTGCAAAAACCAACTATTGAAAATTAAAACTCAGAGACATATTACAGGCAAAAAAGGAAAAAAAGACATTCCAATATTTTAGAATTGACAATTTCAAAGATTTTGCATCCAAATCTTACAATATGTTTCCCTTTTATTTGCTCTCTTCTCCTTTTTTTTTTTTTTAAATCAAGTTGAGGCCTTTTGTGAAATTTGTCTGTTTTCTCTTTTATATATGTGTAAGAATTGTAAGATGACAAAACAGATGAAGACAGAAAACAAAAGCAGAAGCACACATTTCACCTTCTCAATAGGAATGTCAACTTCTCTTTCGTATGCACTTTCAGTCCCATAATGCACCACCTCAGTTACATCCTTTTTCTCTTCAGTTTCCATCATCTCCTAATAATTTTAGTTGGCCTCTAGAACTCTCTGAAAAAAACCCAAGAACTAAAAACCATAAAACTGTAGAGAGAGACTGTGTCTGTGAGTATGCGTGTGTGTGCGTGTGTGAGAGAGAGAGAGAGAGAGATAGAGAGGGAGAGAGAGAGAGAGAGAAGTGATGGTGTTGTTGAGATGGGGTACTGAGAATGGGAAGAGTAATGAGGTTAATGATGTTGGAGAGAGGTGCTGGCTAGATATCACATTTATGGGAAAAGCAGGTGGGGATGGTCTGTAGACGCATGGCCTACCACTTTCACAGTTCCCACTCCCAAAGTGCGGGCACACTTCAGTCATCCCTCACTAACTCCCAGTCCCAGCCATTATGAGCATTCTTGGCATAGCAGCATGAATCATGCTATGTAGACCTTTCACAACAACGAATAGTTAATTGGAAAATGCAATGCTTAACAATTTTTTTTACTAAATTTTTTATCTCAAATAATTTTGTATAATCTTCGTTATTGAATATTAATAGCATCCATTTATATGATGGTAAAACATTGTACCATATCATTTAAAATAAAAATTTAGTAAGAAAATTTTAAAAAAATAGCATTATTCTTATTAATTTATTTCACGATGAAAGTTATTGATTGACCTAATGGCTATCGATGCTATTGAATTTTTAAAATTATAACAAACTTTTTTTTTTAAATTGATAGATTTGAATTTTTTCGCTCTTCTTTTATTTCTTATAATAATCTTTGATCATAACCTAGAGATTTTAAGTTTAATTCTTTCCTGCTATCTCTAAGGATTAATCACTTTTATTCCTTAAATAATATGTTCTAACTCAGTTTAAGTCACGCGATGATCACCACTAAACTCAAGCAAGTGATCAGCTCAAACCTGAATAACTTGTAACAAAAAAAAATAGTGTTTGATCACAATACACACACATATAAAGAGTAAAGTCTTATGTATTTTATTTTTTGTTTAAATTTCGCAATTTATGAGCTTTGTGCGCTTAAAATTATTTTATAGTCTTAAATTTTAATGTAGTCTTTTGATTATGCATATGTATAAAAAAAAAAAAAATTGACATGTGTCAAGTTTTTATTAGACGAAAATTACTTTTACTATGGTATTTAGAAATGTTTTTTTGGCACTATATTTTAAGGTTTATTTTGAGGAACTCCCCCCTCTCCCATTTGAACACGTGTCATTCACAATGGCAGCATGTAAACATCCCCCACATCACAAAAACATAGAAGATATAGGCGACGCCATTTGCATCATGTCCTATACTTGAAGATTTGGATTTCTCCACTAAATCTCAAAAGCACAACGTTAATCACGTTGTAGAAGGAGCTCCATGCAGCAAAAATGGTACTAAATCCGAAGGTAGCCCAGTGGAGATTACGATGAGTTCTAAACTCATGTAATTTGAAATTTGACAATTCTACTATTAGATTATGATTTTGATTAAATTATAAAAAAAATTAATCAATATGTATATAAATAAATCTGAACACCCTTAAAATTATAATAAAAAATATTATACTACATCCTAGTAACCCAAGAGTAGGAACGGTGGTTTTGCAAATATTTTTTGTTTCAACTAGTAAGGGTATTCGGACCAGTTTATGCGTACCTTGATTAATCTCCTCCTCAATTTGGTCAAAGATAGGTCATCTATTGTCGGAACTAGATATTCATAGGGAATAAATCTCTCATGGTCTATCTCTAAGAGATTTTTAAGATTCAAAATCAGGATGTCTGAGTTTATAATTTGTCCCTATAAATTACAAGGCTGAATGTGAGAATTATGTCTTAGACTCTGGAAATTTTTTTGACAAATTTTTAGACTAAGGTAAGAAAAATGAAGGAAAAATTAAGGCATCTATTGAGAATCACTCATCAAATCTATAATATAAAATATGACAGACTGTAATAAATTTATCCGACAATCTCAAACAGAATCATTTAACAATCATCATCATCCCTCTCAAAACCCTTTATATTGCACCATACCTTCAACACATGAGTTACCCTAATACTATATAAAAAGTAACTCACATTAGATAAGTCAAAAGTGTTTAGTGTTTAATAATATTTTTGAATATTTTTTAAGTAGTGTTTATTTTATTCGTTTGATTAGAGTTTAATTGCATATGTAGACCACATACGTGACATGAATCCAACTTCAGACGATAAGAACGCTAATATGAATAATAAAAGGGTCGATTAGTACCAAACAAGATAATTTAATTTTGACATAATAATCTCATTGAGTTAGTATTATTATGTTATGCGGAGTCTCTTACTTTTTTATGACTTAATATTGTATAAATTATTGTAAAAACTAAATGGTTTCTAATTTATTTTTGTTAATAATGTGGATCTAAGTAGATTTTTAATTTATAAGTTTTGGTTGAGAAAAAGTGAATCGGAGTTTTTTAGATTTTGGATTTATGAGTTATCCATATCTATCCGAACACGATATAAATTTAACATATGACCTAATATAATATGATTGATAGGGTTCGGGTTCGGGTTCGGACTAAAACGATAAAACTCACTTGACATCCTACACATATTTCTATTTACTCGTTTTCTCCGACTTTCTTTTTTTTTTATATGGTTACTATACAGTCAGCAATGTGAAAAAATATTGAATATCACGGTTGCACCATTTCATCGTGTTGATATGGTATAATCTTTCACTAATAAGACAACAAGTAGATCTCACGTAATTAAATAATTATTTATCCATGTCATGTAATAATTACCCACGTAGAAAAGTGGGATACATTTTGTCCATTTAATTTTTTTCTCATTAGATCGTTGTAACATATCAGCGTGATGATGATGACATTGTGTAGCTGTGACACCCAATATTTATTTGATCTCTTCTCTCGTCCATGTAAAGTTGCAGTTCGTTCACGAGTGGTTATGGCTTATAATTGAGCCGAGTTACTCGGATTCGATTCGGATAAAACTCGAGTTCGAGCTCGGCTTGTGTATTAAATAAGTTGAACTTCAATAATTTTTTAGAAAAATGCTCAGTTCAAGCTCACAAAATTCGGCCTGTTTTAAGGTCAACTCATTTTCTAAATAAGTCAAGCTTGAACAATTTATTAAGTTTGTTTAAAAAATATAAGCTAAACAATTCAACTCAAACTTGCAAAACTCGACTTGATTATCAGGGCTACAAGTGGTCCGTCAGTTTTGGAGGTATAAATATGGTTAAGCTCTCGCCTTTAAAAAAAAAAAATTGGAGATAAAGTCATTATTGAATCAATACAGTAGTCCAGTGCTGTAAAGTTTTACTAGGGCAGAACTTAGGCATTATTGTAATTATTCGTAGTTTATTCTATACACAACTATTTGTAGAAAATTTTACTGTACTTACATGAAGACCGGAGCTAAACTCTTATTGCTTGTTTTGTACACTGAAGAGTAAGTTTAGCATCACCGAGTATCATAGCATTGGAAACTTGAATCCAAGTATTGAATAAAAAATTTTGAGTTCTTACCATTGGACTAACCGCTAAGTTGTTAAAAAAAAAAAGTCATATTTTTTCACTCCAGACAATGATTAAAGGAATAAAAAGAAGAAAAAGAAACAAGTAATTTATTAATTAGTCACCGATGGCTGATTCCTAATCAACAAAGTTCCAATTCTTTTTTGGACATAGCTAACTAAGCCCTCTTCCTCATCCAAACTAGTTGGGAATACAATGTAACCTTAGAAACTAGGGGGTATCCCTTAAAATTATGAGTTTTAAAAGGGTAAGGTTCGCAGACCATACACTTTGCAGGTTCGATGGTCAAGGATTTTCCAAAATTTTTAAATTAACAGAATGTTCCATGATAAAGTAGCTTGAAGTTTTTATCTTGGTTTAATATATATATATATTAATATTTTTTTATTTTTTTTGGTATTGTAGTCAAGCGTATTCGATCTGATTTACACGCACCTCGACTGATTCTCTCTTTAATTCAATTAAAAATAGATCATTCACATTGAAATTAGAAAATTCATAAGACATAAAATCGTTTAAATTTATAACTCGTTCTTGAAATTTAATATTTGTTATTATTTGTATCCTAGGTAAGCCAAAAGAATTTTCAATGCTTAAAAGATTTGATTGTAACCTCTGCTTTTGCTTTTCATAAAGTGGCTCAGAACCCCTAATTTTTATTGTTTTTTTTTAATGGAAGAGAGGCTGAGAGTGATTCCTGTAGTGCACAGATCCCGGGATAAGATGACATTTGGAGGGAGGCCCAATTTAAAATTAAAGACAGAAAGACTCCCTTGGTGGTATTGGGAACAACACATAGCTTTGATTCAAAAGCAGAGGGATTGTACATGTCCCACCAAGGATTTAGAAATCCTGGCCACAGCTACCAAGCACTGGAATTTGACTTTTTAAAGATAGAGATGACTGTTAAATCATGTAATACATATTCGACTTAATTCATAATTGTCTATATACTCAAATACATTTCATATATAAACATGTTTAGCTGATTTTGTGTATAATCGAATATCCTTAGACTCGCAGAGATGACTATTTGCTTAACAAGCTCGGTGGGTCCACCTATTCACCAAAACATGTTAAGAATAAACTTCATGTTAATTTTGCATCAAGTCAGCTAACTTCATATGGATTTTGCGTTAAGTTTGTGAATGTTATTTAGAATTGTGATGATTGGCAAGAGAGAGAGAGAGATTGAGCATACCTATGTTTGTAATTGAGAGAGAGAGAGTGATGCAGGAAAGCACCTATGTTTGTAATTGAGAGAGAGAGAGTGATGCAGGAAAGCAGATAGAAACAAAAGTTTAACGAACGAAAAAAAAATAAAGAAAATAAACTATTGAAATAAAATTGTCTAAATTCTAGAATTGAACGACATTTTCCACGTTCAATAAAATACCAAAATTTTCGCCACCCATATGCCTGTGAGAGAGAGAGAGAGAGAGAGAGAGAGAGAGATTAATGCAGGAAAAGGATAGGTCAATTGTACCTTTAGAGCTGCAAGTGTTTCTTGATATTAAGCTTCGGTAAGCCTAAAAAGTTGTTTTGTATTGTTAGGCTTGAAAGGAGATTAGGTTACATAGATAAGTAGTGGTAATGGTAGGCAAGGTTTCACCTAAACCCTAAACCTAATAGTTGTGGCCCTCTCCCTTTTCAGCAAGAGCTCTAGAACTGTCTTTAGGCAAAAACTTTAATCTATTCTCATCAATGATTAAGGGTGCGTTTGATAATATTTTTATTTTTATGAAAAAAATAGAACAAAGTTTTATTTTTTTGTGATAAAAATTAAAAATATAAAATATGTTTGGTATTCATTTATATTTAAAAAATTAAAAAATTAAAAATTAAAAATATGTTTAGTATTATACCAAAAATTTACCTCCCAACACCACCACCACCATCGAAACCCACCCACCAATCCCCTGAAATTTATCGAAATCCATCCCCACCCCTACCACCGAAACCTAGCAACCCCCATGCCCAGCAAAGGCCATCACTGAAACCCAGCAACCCCATCCCCAGCAAACCCTATGCCCGAAACCCAGCAACCCCATCCCAGGTTCGATTTGTCTTCGATTCGTTTTTAGTTCTTCTTTGGCTTCGAGTTTTAGCAGAGAGAAACCATGGCTTCGATCGATTCGTCTTTAATACTTCTTTGGCTTCGGATTTGAGCAAAGAGAAACCATGGCCATGACTTCGATTTAGAAGAAAGAAACCAGGCTTTGATTTCAAGAGAGAGACAACAGCGAGAGAGACAAATGAGGAAAGAGGGAAAAAAAAAAAGGAAAAAGACTTTTATAGTTCCAACCAAAATTCTTAAGTTTTGTTGCTAACAAGATTCGAAGTCATGACCTCATTATACAGCCCCACTAATGCGCGCATACGTTTTTTTTTTTTTTTTTTTTTTTAGATGTTTTCAAAAACATATTTTTTATATATTTTAACCTTGTTTTCAAAACGGAATAGTTAAAAAAAAAAATGAAAACAATCTCCAAACAAGTTATTATTATTATTTTTTTTTGGCAAAAAGTGAATACAAAAACATAAAAAAACGGAAACTCCCGATTACCAAACAGGACCTAAGGTGTTCATTCTCTAATATAGTGAGCTCAGATAAAATTTTCAAGGTTTGCACCATAACCCAATTTGTTTACTAAGGGATACCAACCAAGTCTCATACAATTTTTTTTTTCAATGATCAAAGATGTTCAGACGCACACCTCGACTAATTCTCACCCCAATCCGATCAAAGACAGACCATCCATGCTAAAATTAAGTTATTCATGAGAAATAAATCTCTCATACTCTACTCCAAGAGATTGTCAAAATTCAAGCCCAAGACATCTAAATTTACAACTGGTCCTTGTTACCGCTTGAACTACTCCTCTGGATTAATTTGTTTTTCAAAGTGCACAAAAAACAATTCCACCGTAAAGATAAACATATTAAAACTACAGTCCAACTACAGCACCGAAAAGCATACTTTTCACTATCATATCTTTTCTTAAAATCTTGTTATTTGATTGTATAATATTATGCCATTATTTTTACAATCAATGACTACAGATGCATCAGACCAAGATTTACGATCATTAGTCATTTTCAATGGTACCGAATTTTTTTTCCTGTGGGCACCATAAACTTATTCTTAAACCACTCAGCATATACCTACCATAACCCAACTGTACACTGGAACCAGAAATTAACAACTTCTTGGAAGGAGATGTCCAAGTTTGGGTGGACTAAAAGTTGAGTCCAAGATAGAACAATGCAAGAACAGATCCCCACCAGACATAGGGCCATCAAAATATGTGGTTATCTATTTGGAAGGATAAAGCAGATTATTATTATTATATAGAAATACTTTCAGATACTGATCTCTGTGGTCTTCTATATTTATAACAGGTGGGGTAGTATCCCAGAATCTCTCCGACCCTCAAACACTTGGTAGTGGAGATATCTATACTGATTATAGGATACAAGTCAACTATACTTGGTCCAATGCTTTAGCCATTACAAACCCTACCTTCAACCTGCAAAAATCATTCTCAGATGGTAACAGAAGTGGAAACCTTTTGTGGTGGCCACTCAGCAGGCACAAACATTTTAATCAGTCTTACTAATGGGAATTAAACTTAACCTGGGTTTCGATAACCTCAGTTTTTATACGAATATTCAATCCGAAGCCCAACCGCAGCAGCAATGCCTCATTCAAACTATGGGCATGAAAAAGAGTCTCTAGAATCTATTTTTTTCCTCTCTTTTTTCATTACAAGTTCAAAGGTTTCTACAATTTATTTGGTGATGTAATATGATGACCATCATCGTCACTGTATAAACTTATGGGCAAAACTGCAAAAGCCATACAGCACTTAAACCATCATTCCCACACCCAAGTACCCTCCAACCAACAAATACGAAAAATTTGTTTTTTTTTTTTTTGTGGAGTGGGTGGGAGAGAGTGGGGGGGGGGGGTTACAAAATGTTTAAGCACTACTACTTAGCCACTATGGTCACAAGGTTAGCTTCAAATAATTTAATGAAGCTCCTTATTTTATATACTCTCAAGTCAACATGTGAAATCAAAATAATCTGACAGATTTGGTTAATTTACCTCTCCAGAAGCATAACCAGTTCACAGTGTGGAGTATGAGGGAATAGATCAACAGCCATGACTTTGATAGGTTTAAAAGGCTCTGAGTTGGGCATGGACTTGGCCCTGTGGCGAGCCAAACTGGCACTGCTCATGTTCCTCCATCCCCTATTGTTCTTATTCCCTTTCTCTGTTTTATCAGCAGATGGTGTGCAGAGCTCAATAGCATTTGCCACCAAGCTTTCAGGATTACAGGAAATGTAACTGAAGAACAGCAAATTGAGTAAAATCAAGATTCTGAAGAATACCCATAAAGCAAAGAATACAAACTTCAAATACAAACTTACACAAGCCTCCGCAACCGCGGATGTGTCCTCAGAGCTTTGATCACCTGCATTCACATAGAATACAAATTAGCACCAAATCATTCAAACTGACCCAAATCCAAGATTGCACTAACCAAAAGCTTGAATCTTGGCCAATGGATGAGCTAAAAAGGAATGCATAATCCCCATAATATATTGTGTTCATATGATCCCCATATATATGATGATGCAATTCTACTTCATCACCTAGACAGCATATCTTTGACATAGTTTTTCATATCGGATGATCTACACTTCCAAAATGAAGTAATCACGTTGAGGTTTGGAGGGAATAATCCAACAGTGCCTGGAAATCATATTCTAATCAGAGGTTCATGCAAGATAATGAAAATGGTCACTTTTGAATACCCTCTGTCCATCATTTTTAATATACCTTTGTCTGCACAACATTCATGGCTAAATTACATTACATACATTAAGCCTCCCTTACTTATCAAGAAATTCTTTCATTTTGGGCGCTATTAATTCTGACTTAGACAAACACTTCTGTCAATAAATAATTTACACTCGGGCACTGCTTCTGAAGCATGCCCAATTACGGCCATGCATAACCGCAAATAAGTTACAGGATAGTGTTAACAAAAAAATGGTATAATAAATAATACAAAAATAAAAGTCACACCCTTGCAATATTTTTGAAGAACTATAAATAGGACATTAATTACTACTAAACCATTAAGGCCTCTTTGGATCTCCCCTTGAATTTTAATTTCCTCATTTGCTTTTTTCATAGGGATTTATCATCTTGAAATGGACCGAATTAAAATATAGAATTTCACTATTTCTTGGTTTGTGATACTTATTTAGGATTGCTGGAACTAATAAACGATTCCACATCATCGTTTAGATTCCTACGAAATGCTTATGAAACTTAACAGGGCAATTCAAGAAAGATGCATATATTACATCAATCGTGATAGCAGTAGATTTTCTAAATTCATTTTAAAATTTTTCCTTTTCCATGACATCAAACCCAGCCTTAAAGATATAAGTGTAAGGGGGAAAAAGGAAAAAATATTTGAAGAACTAATGCAACAACAATTACTTTTTGAAAACATTTCCCATTTAAAAGTGTTAAGTTGAGTGAATTAACATAACACAATATTAGAGAGAAAGAGAGAGATTAAAAACTTAACCTAACTCTCATACATCACTTGTATTTATAGTTAACCTTCAGTAATACGAATTACACATACACCCTCTTACTATTAACAATTTACACATACTACCCTATTATTCGTCACACTCCCCCTCAAGTTGGACTACATATATCATATAATCTAACAAGCTTAGAACAAATAGCTGTAAGACGTGTACGACTCAATGCTTTGGTAAACATATCTAAAAGCTGATCTTCAGATTTCACAAATGGAGTTGTAATTTTCTCAGCTACTATCTTATCCCGAATAAAGTGACAATCAGCCTCAACATGCTTGGTTCTCTCATGAAACACAGGATTGACAGCGATATGGATAACTGTTTGGTTGTCACAGAATAACTGTAAAGGAAGTTGAACTGGAAACCCAATTTCCTGGAGGGAGTATAGTAGCCAAGTCAACTCACTCGTCATATGTGTCATTGCCATATACTCAGCCTCAGCACTGAATCTTGCTACCACGGGTTGTTTCTTACTTTTTCATGAGATAACATTACCTCCTAAGAAAATACAATAACCAGTGGTTGATCTCCGATCAAAAGGAGAGTCAGCCCAATCAGCATCTGAGAAACCTTCCACTCTAAGATGTCAACTAGCTCGATATAGCAATCCAAGTTCAGGAGCTCGTTTGAGATATCGCAGAATACGAGTAACTGTCTCCCAATATGGTACTCTAGAACATCCCATGAACTAACTTACTACACTGACTGCATATGAAATATTCGGTCGAGTAATAGTGAGATAATTAAGCTTCCCAACTAATCTGCGACACCGACCCGGATTCTCAAACAATACATCATCATTCATAAATAATTTCTAATTCGGATCCATAAGCACATCAATCGGTCTACCACCCAGTAAACATGATTCCTCAAGCATGTCAAGTACATATTTCCTCTGAGATAAACAAATACCATGTTTAGATCAAGTCACCTCAATACCCAAGAAATACCTGAATTTTTTCAAATTCTTAGTATAAAATCGATCCTGTAAGAATATTTTTAACTTGGCAATCCCCTCAGAATCATTTCTAGTAATCACAATATCATCTACATAGACCACCAATAGAACATACCCAGCATCTGTCTGCCTATAAAATACAGAATGATCTGTCTGACACCGAAGAAGACCAAACTCTAAGACTGTATCTGAAAACTTACCAAACCATGCCCTCGATGACTGCTTCAAACCATATAAAGATTTTTTTAACCGACATACACTCTTACCATACTCCCCCTGAGCAGTAAACCCAGGTGGCTGCTCCATGTAGACCTCTTCAACTAAATCACCATGTAAAAAGGCATTCTTGACATCTAACTGAAACAAGGGTCAATCAAGATTAGCAGCCAGAGAAATCAAGATACGAACAGAAAAAATTTTGGCAAAAAGAGAAAAAGTCTCCTCATAATCAACACCGTAAGTCTGAGTAAAGCCCTTTGCAACAAGCCGGGCTTTGAGACACTCCACAGAACCATCAGGGTGAAATTTAACAGTATACACCCACCGACAGCCAACAGTTCATTCACTAGAGGGTAAAGGAACGAGATCTCAAGTCCCATTATGATGTAAAGCAGTCATCTCCTCCTCCATAGCTTTTTTCCAATCTAGATCAGATAATGCATCCTGTAAATGCTTAAGAATAGATATAACAGATAATTGAGAAGTAAAATAGGAGAAGACATGAGACAAATCATCATATGAAACAAAATGAGAAATGGGATGATTAGTAACACACGAACGAATACCTTTGCGAAGAGCAATAGGTAAAGAATCTAAATTACCTAAAGTTCCAAGATCAAAAGGCGGCAGGGAAGACAGTACGAACACTTCAGTCGATGGGCGAGGACGACGAGAGTAGACACGAAGAGGTAAAGTAGATGGTAACACAGTGGACAGCGGAATATCTGAAGATAAAGAAAAGGATGGTGATACAGGAAAGGATCCAAATTCCAAATCCAAAGGCTGAGAAGGTGCTAGAAAGTATGGAACATATTCTTCAAATATGGCATCCGCACTGGTAAAGTATCGGTGCAGAGAAGGACTGTAGCAACGATACCCCTTCTGCGTGCGGGAGTAACCAAAAAATACACATTTGGTACCTCGAGGGTCAAGTTTGTCAAATCCAGGACCCAAATTGTGAACATAACAGACACAACAAAAATCTTAGGAGTCAAAGAAAATAAGGGCTTACCAGGAAAAAGAACAGAATATAGACTTTGCCCATTTAACACAGAGGAGGGCATACCATTAATAAGATGACAAGCAGAAAGAACAACATCACTCCAATAATATCAGGAAATATTTATCTGAAATAACAGGACACGAGTAACTTCTAACAAATGGCAGTTCTTGCGTTCAACAACACCATTTTGTGAAGAGGTGTAAGCACAAGAAGTCTGATGAATAATGTTAGTTTTACTAAGATAAGCTGAAAAAGGATCAGATTCATATTCCCGAACATTATCGGAACGTAAAGTACGTAAACGACAACCAAACTGAATTTTTATTTCCTTACGAAAAGTCTTAAATATAGAGAATAATTCAGACCGAGCTTTCATAAAAAATAACCAAGTAACACGAGAATAGTCATCCACAAATGTCACAAAATAAGGATATTTATTAGATGAAATATTCTTTATTGGACCCCATACATCAGAATGGACTAGACACACGATTATTGACTCTAGACTGAAATGACACACGATAATGCTTACTAAGTTGACAAGCTTCACAAGACAAAGACGACACATAACTAAGACTGAAAACTTGGCGCTTCAAATTCTGGAGAGAGGGATGTCCAAGACTACAATGCCATTGAAAAGGAGACAACGAGGTCTGTAGAGCTCGGGTAGGTGAATCAATGTCAAGGTAATATAGGCCACCAACTTCATGCCCCGTACCAATCTTCCTCTTCGTCTTAAGATCCTGAAAGACACAATAAGAAGGGTAAAAAGTTACAGAACAATTGAGAGAACGAGTAATCTTGCTAATGGAAAGTAAACTAAAAGGAAACTGACGAACAAATAACACGGAAGATAAGGGGCATATCAGGACTCAAGTAAGTAGTCCCCAGACCTGAAACTCTAGAACAAGTACTATTAGCAAGAGTAACACTACGTGTGGAAGTGGCAGACTGATAAGTAGAGAAAACGTCAAACGCACCAGTCATGTGGTCAGAGGCGCCAGAGTCTATGATCCAAGGACTGCGAGAGAAGGACAATAAACAGATGGAAACAGTACCTAACTGGACAAAAGTAGCAGTAGAAGGAGATGGGACAGCCTGTTGCTGGGACAAGAACTGAGCATACTCCTCTTGACCCAGTGTCTGGTGGAGCTGATCGAGGTATGAAAGCAACAACAGAGGTATCATCCAAATAAGAAGCCTGATTAGCAATACCAGAAGGTTTTCCATGTAAATTCCAACAAAAATCAACAATGTGTCCTCCACGGCCACAGTGAGTACAGGAACGGGATCCACGACGACCCCCACGACCACCTTGTACGACCTTTCGTACGACCTCCGCGATCACCACTTCCACCTCGATGACCATTACTATGGCTATTAAGAACCACAAGAGCTGAGCGATCAGTGGAGACACCATGATCAATGACTGAAGGAGTAGACAGTGTAGCACGCTGTAAACGAGAAAAAAACCTCCAGTAGTGATGGAAAACTAGATCCATCCAAAATCTGAGAATGAATAGTCTCATATTCAGGTTCCAATCCTACCAAAATTCTAACAACATTCAGGTTCTTATGTTGCTTTTGCCAAACTACTGCATCAGTAGTAAACGGATGATAAGTCTTCATCTTTTCACAAACTCCTCAACTTCTCACAAACTCCTCAAACATGAGAGTAATAATCCACAAGGCTCAGAGTACCCTGCTCCAACTGAAAGTACTCCTTGCACACCTCATACGCACGGGTAAAATTACCTGTACTAGAATACATCATGGCCAAGGAATCCCATATCTCTTTGGTAGTATCAAGATAGAGCAGAGAAGAGCTAATACTAGGCTCTATGCTATTCAACAATAAAGAAATAATTTGAGCATCCTCTTGTTCCCACTGATCATATCCAGGAGTGTCTTCCTTGGGTTTAGAACCCACTAGATATTTCTTAAATCCTTTGCCTCAAAGAAAGACTTAAGCAGATCGGGACCATAAATTGTAATTAGTCCCATTAAGTTTGACAGAGGTCATGGGACCATTGATAAGAATTGGAGAAGACAAAGATGGAGTAAGGGACCCGATATCTTGCTTGGATTCCATAATAATGCAGCAAACTGTAAACAAGAAGAGTTACAATGATGAAGTAGAGAAAAAGAAACCGCTAGAAGGCTGAACCGGGCTAAAAAAGATAGCTGGACCACTGAACTGGGTTGAAAAAGGTTGCTGGAACACTGAACCGGCTCGGTTTAGCTTGCTGGAGCACTGAACCGGGCCGGTTTGGCTTGCTGGAGCACTGAACCGGGCCGGTTTGGCTTGATGGAGCACTGAACCGGGCCGATTTTGCTTGATGGAGCACTCAACCGGTCTGAGATTAGTCTTGACCGAACCAAACAATGGATTGGGTCAGATTTGGGTTGACCCGAAGTGGATCGAGTCGAGCTGTTTCTTCTTCGCTGGTTAGAAAAACTCACCACTACGCCTCACCACCGACAATACGAACCACCACAACCACGAACAGACCACAGCAGCCACCACAGACCACGCCAACCACAAACCACCACACAGCCACCACAGACCACGCGATCACAACAACCACCACAGACCACGCCTCACCACCAACGACGAACTACCACAACAGCACCATAAACCACAGCCACACCACCATGACCACAGCTGCCAAACAACAGCAACCACCACAACAGTAGCACTTTTACGAACAAAATTTATTCAGAATATATATTTATGATCGTATATGGCTCTAATACCATGTTAAGTTGAGTTAATTAACATAGCACAATATTAGAGAAAAAGAAAAGAGGTTAAAAATTTACCTAACTCTCATACATCACTTGTATTTATAGTTAACCTACAATAATACGAATTACACATACACCCTCTTACTATTAACAATTTATACATACTACCCTATTATTCTTAACAAAAAGCATCAAGCCCATCCTTAATTATAAGTAGACAAAAAAGAGAAGATAACAAATCAGAACATGAAAGCAACATTTATATCAGTTATCAGACAAGATTATTATGTGTAAATATGGAATCCAAAATTTTGTATATAGAACACTCCACGCATAATATAAAGCTCTCGGTTACTTACAGTAGGATGAAGTCCAACACGTGGAGGATCCACAATAGCAACAACATTTTTAAATTGGTGCATTGGAGTATTCCCACTTTCTGAGGTGCCCCTCTTCTGAAGTTGGTTTTCAAATTCTTGGTTGCCATTGTCGGAAAACTCAAGCACTCGTTCACCATATTCAAGCTCAAGACCTGAGCTCACTTCAGGACCAGGTGTATTTTCTGAAGAATCATTCTCTTCTGCTTTAGCAATTTCTTCATCAATCTTTCCAGATGAATCTGAAATTTCATCTTGTTTCTGGGGCCCATTTAGGTACTCTTTCAGTAGAGACCCCATTACATCTTCTGCCTGTTACCACATGGACACAATCACAAACAAACCCAACAAAAATACTTGGAGCAATTGAGCAAATAAGATGAACTATTCAAAATAAAGAAATTGTTCAACTCAGTTAGAATTTGATAGGTCTGAAAAGAAAGCAATTAGACTTACAAATGAAAGAGAAAATGAAAAGAAGAAACAAACAAAAAAAAAACAACTCATAAAATTATTGATTTCTCAAACAATAATAGTTAGCTTTGTGAGACTCATGTGGCAACTTATTTCATGCGTAGAATGGTCCAACCACGTTAAAGGAATAATAACTTTGAAATTAAAAAAAAAAATTCTCACCTTTGCACAGATAAATCTGCAGTTTTTAATCCCGTTAATTTGAGCATTCCTGAGAGCATCTGAAACTGCAGAGGCATTCATTTCAATGCCAACGACCTGAAAAGATTTGAACTCAATTAACTAAGCTTAAGGGGTTTAAAAGACTCAAGAGCTAGGTAGCACGGATATACAAATACGAGATACCGGTACAATAAGATATGGATACAACAAAACCCCAAAAAATAGGATACGGGTATGACCAAGATACATCTGTAAATATATATATTGTATATTTTTACTACTATGTAGTGACTTGATAATTATAATTTTTAGTGATTCTTTAACAATAATAAAAAACATTAACGATTTTTTATTTTCAAAAAATTACCTATTATCTCACTATGGTACATCTACAAAGCGAACATGATTAATTAAAGGAATAAGAACCAACATTAACTACATTGTTTGTTTAAAAGTATTTGTTGCCAAAATTGTAGAGTAATCAACTAATTTATATTCTTTGGACATGTGATAATGGATAATACTTAGAAAACACCCACGTGTCTTCCAAATCATATGAATTTTTTGTTGATGTATTACATTGTATGTGAAATCAAAAAGAAGGAATAAAGATTAAAAATAAAAATTACACAAGCATATAGAAGTATCCGCGAATTATCCATATATTTTATTTATCGTATCCTTGAGAGGGACAGAGTATTCCGTTTGCCATATTTCGGTAACGAAAATGAAATCGACAAAAGATACGGCCAAATAACTATAGTGTAACGGAGTCTACTCCATTTTAATGGTTACACAATGCAACTGTGTATTAGTCCCGTCCCATCATGCAACATATGGAAAACAAAAAATTAATTGAATACCCAAATTAACTAGGAAGTATTACCATACCCACGCGATGGGCCAATGTCAGGCCAATCGTTCCGGTCCCACAGCATATATCGAAAAGCAAGGTATCAGGACCCAAACTGGCCCAATCCCCAGCAAGGGCATACAGCTTCTCTGCTGCAAGGGTGTTAACCTTAAGAAATGTGGAACTTGAAAATTACCACTTGTATGAGGGAAAATTTTTTATCTGATTTGATTCATTGATTGATCAAGGGTGAGATGAATAGGAGGGTGCCGAGAAAGAAATCAAGGGTCTTACTTGAAAGAAGGCGGTAGGGGATATAGAAAACCTTAGATTGCTTATATAATCATGAATTCTTGCTTCGACAACATCATTTGCAGCCTCTAGTATAGAATCACTTTTTGCTTTTGGAATGGGAAGGGAATGCAATGGACAATCAGCTGGCGCCGCATTGGATATTCCTTGGTGATCCTGCACGGAAAAAATGATAAAGAATGTCATTTAAAGTAGATCAAACCTATATTGTCCGTCAAAAAAAAAAAAAGTGAATCAACCACTAGCCTTAACCCTATAAAAACATTAAAAGTATAAAACTAGTCGAACATATACATTTATGACAGCATAACTCGTGTTAGTTTACTAATAGGTGGGCAATCTGTACTGTTATACCATGAGTGCTCCCAAAAATAAGTAACTAAGGAAGCAGTGACTCTTAACTGTTAAATCTCTCCTTGTTCAAATTTGCATTCCTGACCAGTACGGCAGCACAACTACTATGCAACCTAGATATGTTAAATATGTTCTTAATTCCTTTCCAAGTAGATTTATCACCAACCTATTCAAATTTCTCTTCACCTTTTTTTGTTAGGGGTGTCAGGGGTCAATAACGAACACAAGTGAAAATGTTTTATGCCATTTCAAACAACAAGGATGAACAAACATTTGAGGCATAATCAGGCACAAGATATCATAAGCATAAAAAGACCAGTAGACGATTTTACAAAATTTAATTGCAATCAGTTGCTGCAACCCTGCTATTTACATAATGGGTGCTCAAGAATGTCAAATTTGCACATCAGTGACAGCTAGCCTGTAAAGATTAGACCACAAAGCTATAGTCTACTCTTGACACTTCCGAAACATAAGCAATAGTACCTCTATCTAAGCTATATGAACAGGCAGATCGAGTCACTCTATGACATCCAAAAGAAACCATATTGCACCTCAAGAATTGTAAGGCAATAAGTCTATTACATAACAGGAGTTTATATAAAACAAAGAAGGTGGTGTTTGGGTATAAATAATTAGTGTACCAGTACTCAATTAGGAGGTACTTTGATAAGCGATTTAGAAGGGATTCAAGTGCAAAAAGTTCTTATCACCATTTATATTTAATTCCCCCAAAGTATCCCTCTCTCTCTACCCCCCCCCCCCCCCAAAAAAAAAAAAAAAAAACCACAGAAAAAAACTATCCAAAAAAGAACAAAAATATAATCCACCTAAAAAGAGCCAACCCTTTGCTCCACAAGTAAAAGAATTTTGAATCAGGATACCTCTCTTGATGACATATAACCCAGCGAATATAGAAAAATGTAGAATGACTACTGTTCACGTGACTGACATACTGATAGACACTATAAAATAAGCATTTTAAGATTACTACTTTCAAGTAAGTTATTTTGCTTACATATCAAGGGCCACAGCTGAAAAGTTCATTAATCGACCAAGAAATTAAGAATACTTAAGTAAAACAGATAATTGCGAACAAGACTTTGTTACCTGAAGTACCAATGCCGTCAGAGGCAAAGAAGAGGAATCAGCAGAAGCACCCACTGAGAATGCTTCAGCCATCCTTTGTAGTTCACTGTTTGTTAGTTCATCATCAAAGCCCTTGGTGCAAACCTAAGTATTTGACAAGAGAAAAAGAACGATGAAAAAAAAATACTAGCTGTGAGGAGAAATCTAGTGGTGGATGAATGCTTGATTAATTTCAATCACTTAATTGAGTCATAACTCCCAATCCGCAGACATATGATTAATAATATGCTGTCTCCAGCCCAGCTTATCAGAAAAGTGACCCAAATTTTCCTAATTTGATATATCTTATGAACAGCCTGCCATGGTACTACCACCAACTACTGAATGCATTGAGGTATCATGTATCTATTGAAAGATAAAAAGATTGAAAGACAAGCAGCTCTCTAGAGCAGGTTAATTAGACAAGTACCTGTACCATTAGCAGGACCTCTACAGTATCGGCCCTAGTACTTTCAATCCCAGTACCCTTGGCTGGCGCCCTTCCTTCACGAACCTAATCAGAAATATCATGGAACAGAAAATAAGCTGAGGGAAAAAGCATAAAGCCATTTTCAGCCTCACTGAAGCTGCAGATTAGACTTATTTAACCACTCAACCACTGGTTTCAAATAATTCATTCAGACGAGTTACATATCTGCTGCTCAAATGGACTTACTGTTAGTTGCCGCCAGAATCCAGTATTATTCAATCTGTTCCAAATAGGCAAGCCCGAATGCTGTAGAAATTCTTGAAAAATTGCAGCATATTTGCAAGCAATCCCAGAAACATTGGGACAGTTGACAGGCTCTTCAACAGCTGTTACCCCCTCCCTGGAATAAATGACTTATCCCCATTAAGTGGAAAAATGGTGAAAACAAGTCCCTATGAGAAGTGGTTATAAATGCAGGCTACCTGAAATTGCCAAGCAAAAACCCAACAGTAGGTTTGCCCTGTAGAGAGTATCCAACAGAGAATTCACACTTGTTACGGTATCCATTCACTTGTGGGGATTCAAGTATACCCTCTAGATTGCATGGAAGACCACCTGCAGGCATCAAAATTGAACACAGACAGCCATATAAGTTCCCCAGCATTTTTGCTTCAAACGAAAGTGAAGGGGCAAGGTTTCGAAGGGTAAATGACAACAAAAGGGGCAGTCTGCAATCTTATGACGCATTCAAATTGTGTCACTGTAACATCGCTTCACGGGCAAACCATTTATGCCAATAAACTCCAATATGGCTACAAGCCAAGAATTATGCAAGGATCTTTTTTATTCTTTTTTTCCAGATAAGGTTGAAGCTGCACCTATTTCTCTAGATTTTAGGATCCATTCTGGAAGTGAAACACCATTTGGACAAGCTTTACGTGCATTCCGAGTCTACACATAATAAAACCATAAACGTTAAGATAGTCCAGCCATGACATTATACCTTATAGTTGTTGGAAAGAAGTGCTAGTATTTAATAAAAGCAAAAATATGAGGGTATGAAAAGACAAGGAAATAGAGATGACTATATCTAACAAGTTTTTTGAGCATTTGCACAAGAGTGTTCTTCTTGTGCTCAAGCTGATCAACATAGGGCAAATGAGCAAGTGGAGTCACTGCATTACGGACACTTCTACCCTTTAGATCTGAACTGCCAGGCATTAAACTGTCATTAGTTGGATCATCATCTTCAAACCCACTTAAAGATTCAGAGACGTCCGCACTGTCACTAGCAGTTGCTGGTTTCAGGTTCTGTTGGGTGCCATATGCGGGAGGTAACGGCACTTTATTTTTCTTCTCAAATGGTCGGGGGGTGACATCTGCAACCTTTAACTTCTTGTTGCCAACAAATTTTCCGTCCATTTCCTAACACATTGAAATTTGAGAATACAAGTCACTAGACTTACTATAAGTTTCTGCAAAAGTCATATTGGTATCATCAGAGTCAGGGATACCTCCACTCCGCTTTTCACTTGTTCAGCATTTTCAAAACTCACAAAACCTACAATCATGCCTTTCTTTTTCTTGGCTGATTTATAGAGAATTCCCTGAAAATGAAACAATATCCATAAACTTGAGGAAAACACACCGATAAGCCTCCTATATATCATATCATTGACAGAGACTGACAGTACAACTGAAGACCACTGCTCCAAATAAGGTGAAGTGCTAAACATTCTCCACATCACGTCCTATTACATTTCCTTGCATATCATATGTATCAGTTGCACACTCTTTTGCTCGTAAATATTGCATATATGCCAGCATTAGCTCATAACTCTCATATATTGTTTGAGAAAAAGAAGGATCTTGTGTTATTGTAGTTGATAAATCTCATAACTATTGAGATGTCAGTACCGGCTCGCTCACAATTCAGGATTCCAGTAACATGCAATTACAAGTAATTTAGTCCAAGTAGCTAGAATTGGCTTTGACCGAGCTTAGATAACTAGAGTATTTCTTTTGTCTAAAACCTTTAATGAGCATAGCTTAAATCCATATCTCCTAACAAAACACAAGGAAAAATCATGTCTCATAAGTTTGAAAGGTCTTGAAGCTCAAATTATTTTTAAATTAATAAATGGCACGATTGACTTGGCATGGAGGAAAAGGTTGAGACTTGGAGAAAAATCCATTTACTCCAGTGCATGGCATGATCAGTGCAGGAACTCACTTAAATCCTTTGGCAAGCAAATTCAGAATGTGAAGCAAGGTCGTTGATTTAACATATTGGTTATGAACTCACAACTTTTTACTGAAGTGAGGTAGCCTAGTAGAAGAGGAAGGCAAGACATGAATATTCTTTTAAAAGAAAGTATATCTAAGAAAACAGCCAACAACATTTGGGATAATACAAATAATCAATCTCCAAATTTCAACATACAAGACTCCGTGAATACTAATACCTGAATCCTCATAATGTTGACCAATTATGCTGATAAAAAATGAGATTAGGAGAATGATCTATTCAATTATAAAATGATAAATCTTTATAGCTAGATGGTAAATTTAAAGCATCACTAATATCATAAAATCTAAAACAGAAGCTCTGACGTTCAAGGTAGCAACTACCACTGTAGCACATTTTCTTTCCTCAGTTTCATGGTGCTATGAAATTTGACTAATTTGTGTTCAGCTCAACACTATATCAGAGCAAATCCAATGTCCTTAACTCGATAGTTGTCAACGTTTCATACATTCTACTCTGTCCCTAGCATTGTCCACACAGAAAGAGAGCCCTGAACCAACCTCTAGGTAATGCTATCGTGACTCATTACACATGTTAGTTCTCACTCACACTTTGGAAGACCAAAACTGCTGTACGGTCTGTACCCTCTACCCCAAGATTTCACTAGTGCCGGTTTTGGGCGCATAAACCGTGTAGCTTAGCATTGTTATGGACAACTCCAATTGTTCAAATTATGATAAGTTTTCGTCCAATTCCAATTCGTACTCCATGAAATGAATTCCATGCTTCCAAACACAACCTAAAAATCATCACACGCCCAAACATGTTATACTTTGTCTGATTCTGTCGAAGTTTCGATGATTTTTGAACAAACTTTAACATACCGTTTCCATCCCACATTCCAAAAAAAATATAAAAATTCAAACTTTTCCTTTTATTATTCCATGTTTTCTCAGCAACCAAACAACTTACATTCACATAGCAAATAAATCGCCACAAAACCCAACTCACCTGTTCACCAAGAAAACTCCTCAAATTGTCAGAACTCCACTTCATCGGAAGATTCACCAAGCACTTGGCCAACGCCGGCTCCGAACAGGACTCCTCCGCGAATGCCTCCGTCATCATCACCTCATCATTCTCTCTCAACACCGACTCTCCTGTACCTTCAATTCTCTCTCCATTCTCCGTCTTCAACATCTCCTTAGCCCTCTCCGAAGTCGGGTCCCACGTGCCATCGGCCCGTTGCCGGAGCTCCCCCTCGCCGTGGGCGTACCGGCACGACTCACCGTGGCTACACGACCCATTCGACCTTCTAAAGTACGAACAGAGGCTTGTCTTCCACAGAGGATGAAGAGAACTTTTGGGCCCTTCTGGGTTGTCTTCTGGTGTGTCCACCCGCTTTCGTTTCTGGGATGGTTCGATTAAGTCCGCTGATTGAATATTCGAAGGTTGTTGAGTCGGTTTGTCCGAGGAGTCTTGGCCGTTGGTTTGGAGATGGTTAGTGAGGGTTGAGGGAGGGTTTAGGGTTTCGGTTGGAGAAGATGCGGCCATTGGTACCGCTTCGCAACTGTCAAGTGTTGTGTTGCAGTTCGGTTTATTTTCTCGTATAGTAAATCTTAAAATCTTCGAAAATTTTGAGTCTAACTCTCTCAAATTTATTATATCTTTGAGATTACTTTTTTTATATTTTTTGAATCTTCACTCTGTCAGATTAAAAGTGATAATCAGAATTCAACAAATTTTTAAATTTTTTTACCTATTAAAATTTAATTTAAACTAATTAAAATTAATTTTTTATGTATTAAAATTTAAATTAATTAAAAATTATATTTTTTTTCATATTAAAATTTGACCCGATTAAAATTTTATTCGAGACTCAAATAAAATTTTAATTGATCTGATTTTTTATACATAAAAAAATATAAATTTTAATTGGATCAAAAAATAAATTTTAATTGACTCAAAAAATAAATTTTAATCCACTTGAATAATAAATAAAAAAATATACATTTTAATCGGGGCTAACAGCTCAAATAGAAAAAAAAAATTAATCAACTCGAATCAAATTTAATATGTAAAAAAAATTCAATCAACTCGAATTAAATTTTAATATGTAACAAAATAAATTTTAATTGACTAGAATTTTATGTAAAAAAAATTATTTTTGGTTTATATAGAGATAATTTTAGTATTTAAAATAATTAATTTTTGTTATAAATTGTGATTTAATGACTGAAGTGTCAGTGATATTTAAATATAAATTAAAATGAATGTCAGTAATATTTTGAGAATAGAAAAGGTATCTTTAAATATATAATAAATTAAAAAAAAGTGTGATTGAAATTTTCCATAAAACCTTTGTCTATTCGCTGGTGTCTTGCATAAGTTCACGAGTGGGAACCTTCTCCTCCCTTGATGCCGCATAAAATCAAAATTTAAAAATGACACTCAAAAACAAATTCTCAATTTTTTAAATCACACAATCAAATGTTAAAACTTTTATATTATATTTTCAGTCAAATAAAAAAAATAATATAGTCCAAAATTAAATGAGAGTTTTTTTTTGATAATTTTTTTATTATTTATCATATTATCTCATTTCTCTACATAATTATTTACATTAAACTCAATTTTAAGTATTTTTAGTATAAATTTGATATTCAATTTTTTTTAAAGAAAAAAAAACACACTTATTTTTTTTTTTGTTCGATTGAAGGTATAATATGAGAACTTTAATCTTATAAAAAAAAAAATTAGAGGGTAATATTTCATTTGCTCTAGCCCTGTTGGAAGCTGAATTGTCTATCGAAAAAATAAAAAAGTAAATATCAATTGAAATACCTCTAAACTGCATGGTGGAAAGTAATTAGACTACACTTTTTTTTGTCATAAAATAAGTAAAAACTTTAAAAATTAAAGGAAAAATAGAGAGGAAGCTTTTCGAAGAGTTTCTTCTGTTAAAAATGAGTTTTTTATAAATAGTATTCATATCGCAAAAATAAGATTTTGCCGGGACTAAGTATATAAAATGTACAAGTTCACTGCATTTGAGATCAATAAAGTTAATTGGGTGTCAATGACAATTTAAATAATATGGCAAGGTCACTATAATTATACCAATCAATAGGGGTATCATTGATATTTATCCAAAACAAAGTATCATTATAATAAGAGTAATGCCCTCTTATATTTCTTTAATGATATTAGGAGCCTAGTTAGAGATTTTTTTATTGGGCAATATTTATCTATAGTTGAAAATTTAATAAGCTAAGATTTGTGGTTGATTGAACAAATTCAAACAAGATTAGGGAAAGAAGCTATCCCATGGGACACCATCCCAAGAAATTTCTATCATAACGATGATATCACGTTATTAGTGACACGATATAAGTATGTGTAGTAGATCCCACTATTTTAGAAACTTTCAATAACTATCATGCCAACTAGCTTACACCTTTGGAATAGTTGGACTCATTTATCTAACATGTTGTATAATGCTATGTTATGTGAATTAAAACTCAAATATTTTATCCTATTGGTATTTACACCACACATGGAGTTAAATTATTTATTTTTTGGGATCTACAAAACGATAAGTGTTGTGCACATATATTTAGAATGAAAACTTTGAGTTTGACTGACATAACAATACTCTTATTATTTATTGTTGATATTACACGGTTGTAATAAATATTTACCACACTATCCAAATTATATCACTTTTAAATTTATTTATCAAATTATGACATTTTTTTAAAATAAAGTTAACAATTATACTTTTAAATTAAAAAAAATGTGGTCGGTCGTTGCAGAAAAAACTTACAATAACGACAAAAAACGTGTTTACTATCCATGCTTTTAAAATAAAAATATGGTTATTTATTGCATAAAAATTTGTGGGAACCACAAAAAGAGTGTTTACTAATCAGGCTTTTAATAAAAAGTGTGGTCAGTAAACACGATTTTTAGGGAGCATGTCAAGGCATATACACATGGTTGATCATATCTCTTTCACTTGTTGTCTCTTTCAATAAATAAATAAAAAGCGTAATTATTAAACATAATTTTATATTTTAAGCTCATAATATTCCTATAATTACCAATCACCTTTTTTATTTAAAAGTATAATTGTTGACCTCCATTTTAAAAAAGTGTCATAATTTGTTAAATAAATTCAAAAATACAATTTATTAATAATTTTGTTTGCAAATTACTGCACTCCAAGAAATGACTCTCATTTCTCTTTATTACAAACACAAAGAAAAACAACTCAAACATGAAATCCTTTTCAAGATGTCCTTGTCTCTCATGAAAATTGACAATTCTAGATTTAACTGGATCAAACCCAATTAAGGAGCTAAACTCAAATCGGCTATAAGGCAGGTCAAGCCCAATTCATGAATTTGGCCCAGTTCAGAGTTCAAGGAGTCTAGAAGGATTAGAACGTGTGAGGGGCAATTATCGAGATACTGACTCTCGAAGATCAAGACAACCTTTAATTATACTTTCATTTTGAAGCTCTTCGAAGATCTAAGACTTTTACTCTCATGTCACCTCCTCAACTAAGGCTTCGTGCTTATCAATTGTAAGTTCTCTCTACACGAGAAGACACCTCTCTATACACCCTACGCATAGTTTTTCTCTCTCCTATCTATTGTATCCTTCACGGAGCTAACCATAGCTCTCTCTCGTTCACCTAACTTAATCAATAAAAAGTCCCCCATCACCGTTGTCATTTTTCGGAGTGGAGTAGGTCACCCAGATCGAACCATTATATATTTGCGTGTTGACCCAATATTTATATTATTGTCATTGATTGCTCTATTAATTGTCTATTAATTACACTTTATCACACACTCAACTATTAATCTTGCATAAACTATTTTGTATATTATCAGTTTGGCGTCGTCTGTGAGAAACGATTAAGTTTTCTACAACTTTATTATTTTCTTTCAAATACATGACGATCACGACCAGGTCGATGAGTCAACAATCAGGGGACAATAACCCGGCTAGCCAGGAGGAGGCTTCGCCTCCACCAGCACCCACAGAACCATCAACTCAACGACTCCCATGGTCAGGCAACAGTTTTTATAGACCATGTAGTTGCTGATAAACTAGAACTAGCAAATTATCCAGTTGATGCTCCCCCCAAGAAACATTGCCCTTTAGCCTCTAGAAGGAGCACCACTCCTTTCGACGAGAAAGGCATCGCAACCTCTCCACTCTAGGCACCAAGTCGCCCCCCGACCAATGGGACGAGCACTAGAACATCCCCGAGCAGCGCTAGGGAGCCCCTCCCCCAGGAGTTTACACCGCCACGAAAATCTTGGAAGTCTACACCACTGGTCCACCGCTGGAGTCCTGGGAGTCTACACTGCCCATGGAGTCTACATTGTCATGAGAGTCTTAAGAGTTTGTATTGTTACAGGAATCCTGGAAGTCTATACCGTCACGGGAGCCTCGGGAATCTACACCACCACCAGAATCCCTAGAGGAAGTATCACGCGTTCCTGCGCTCACTTGCTTAGTGTATAATGCCTTCACCCACTATGAGGCAAGCCCAGACACTATCCCAAGAAAGTTTGATGTCTCGGAGACAGCTCCACAAGCCTCAAATGACCACACTCCAAGACTAGAGACACTCGACTCTTTTGTGCCTACTCTACAGAAGCCTTCTGCACCCCTCGCTACCATCTACTATATCAAGTTGGAGACTATACGTGGATGGGTCCTTCACCAGCGAGGACGACGACGCAAGGCTAGTGCTGAACAGCTCCCATGACACTCGACTCAAGTATGCTGCTCCCTCCACTTTGCAACATCCAATAACCAAGCTGAATATAAGACCCTCAAATCAGGCTTGAAGCTCGCATTGGAAATGGAGGTCCTCTACCAAACAGCCTACAGTGACTCACAACTGATAGTCAACCAGGTAAAGAGAGGGTTGCCCTCGACATCTGTACCCTACGCTCAAGCAACCTAGCACCTAGGTTCCTTGCCAACCAATGCCCCAATGCCAAACAGCGGCAGTGCACCTGCCTATGCAGTGGCATCGCCCAGATCACTTACAAGGCATCGCCCAGGGCCACATGTCTGCCCAGTGACGTCGCCCAGACCACCTGTTGCAAGCGTTGCCCAAATCGCTCGACTTAAAGAGATCGCCCATAATCCTCAATGTGCACACTAGCGCTTAGCACCAGACAGCGCCAAAATGCCCCTCGGCATCTATGCCCAATGATGCCTAGTACCCCTCGGCGTTTATGCCCAACGACATCTTGTGCCCCTTAGCGTCAGTGCCTAGCAACGCCCAGCGGCCCTCGTCATCCTAGCCCACTGGCACCAGCTCATTAATCTCTAGCTTAGCAGCTCTCATGAGAGTCGCCAGAAAGCTTGGCCTATTTTTGTCTCTACTTTCACGCAGACAAACTGTACCTCTAGCTTAACGGCTCTTTCAAGAGTCGTCAAAAGTTTGGTCTATCTCTCATATGTTCTCAAGTAGGTAACCTATATCTCTAGTTTAGCGGCTCTCACTAGAGTTGCCAAAAGCA